CCAGTTCCCTCTATCAAGTCTGCAGGACCTAATATTGTATGTAAGATTGTTTTTGTTGGTACTAATATTGAAAAATATTTCTTTGATTTCAGAATAGTATGCGTACTACCACTATCTGCTATACAAAGATCTCCAACCATTTCCTGATGTTGTGCTCCAGTTGGACTTATATTAAACTTCACATATGAAAGAAATAATAAGCAAATAAACATAATCATAATAATTATTCTAAAGAAAGTTCATTTATTGTAGGAAATACATTACATGAGAAACAAATAAAGGAAAACAAGTTTATTAGAACAATAATAGAAATTTTTAGTTTATGTCTTCTATGTCATTGCAGAAATCATCAAAAGTTAGCAGAGTGAATTCAACGTCATCAACGAGGTTTGCTTATTTTCCTTTTCCTTTACTCGACTCTTGATAAAGTTGACAAAGATGTGCAGTTGTGTGACTGGTCCTTGACCAATGGACTATGCTACCACATCTATAACATGAACTATCAGATTTTTGTGATGTACCAGTATCATGAGTTGCCACTTTGGCCTTATCTTGTGTATGGACATTGTTTCTTTGTGAAGATTGATAATTACTCCTTTTCTGGCCACGACCACGATTATTACATTGTCCACGACCAAAATTATGGTTCTAATTATGGATTTGGTTTTGATTAAAATAGCTACGGCCTCGTCCTCGACCACGACCACGCCCTCGTCCACGTGTATTGTTTCAATGACCATCCATATTTATAGCATTTTCTTCAGGAAGTGCTAATGATCCTGTTGGACAAGATTCATGGTTTTTCATCAAGAGCTCATTGTTTTGCTCTGCAACAAGCAGGCATGCAATTAGTTCAGAATATTTTGTGAACTTTTGCATCCGATATTGTTGCATCAAGGTAATGTTTGTTGCATGAAATGTGGAGTAAGTTTTCTCCAACATATCTTCATCAGTAACTTCTTATCCACAATACTTGAGTTGTGAACATATTCTGAACAAAGCTGAGTTGTATTCATTCACTTTCTTGAAGTCTTGAAACCTCAGTGTTCTCCATTCATATCTAGCATTTAGAAGTATAACTTCCTTTTAATGATCAAATATTCTTTTAAAAGATTCCAGAGAATACTTGGATCAGTAACATCAAGATATTCAAATCTTAACATTTCATCAATATGCTTACGAATGAAAACTTGTGCTTTTGCTTTGTCTTGTGCCAAGAAATTATTAAATTCATATATAACATTTGAGATTCCCATGGACTCAAGATGCATTTTTATATCTATCATCGATGACACATAGTTTTTCCCACTAACTTCAAGTGCTGTAAACTCAAGCTTTGCAATGTTGAACATAATGTAACTTGATTAAGATAGATATGATTTCCACTTCAAAATAATATTGGTTTGAGCTTTCGTGCTGATAACGTGTTATAAAATTCAACGTGATTAAGATAATTTAAAGCAAACTAAACTAACAACATAGATAAAGAAATTTGATGAAGAAGAAGATTTAGAAAAGATATGAGATATTTTATATCTTGTGAAATTGTATCTTCATATATTTGCAAGAGCATATTATTTATACTATAAAAATTATCTATCATATGTCATGTAAATAGTATAATATGATAGCTTTTACCAATTCACCAATTATTGGTGTCATTTACAATAATTTACAATTTTATATATATATATATATATATATATATATATCAACTTATTTATGCTTTGTACCAAAAAATAATAAATTCCATAGAAATGACTTTTGAGACAATTAGATAACATGTTCTAAGTTATTGATTTTTTTTCAGAAAAAATAGTAACAGGAACCATTAACATCAATTATAACAATGTACTTTGAAAATGCATTCTTATTTTAACAATGTACTTTCATACTGCATTTTTTTCAAAAATTATCAACTTATTTCAATTTAATATCAAGAAATAGTAACACGAACCATTTACATCAATTATGACAATGTTCTTTCAAAGTACATTGTTATTTTAGGGTTATTTTGCGTAATAAAACTTTTTTTTATAATAAAATAGTAACTTATTTCCATTTTATAATAAGGAATAGTAAAAATCAATGGAAATCGCTTTTTGAGACAATTAGATGCCCTTGAATAAGTTTTGATTTTTTTTTTCAAAAAAAATTGTACGATGAACAATATTTGCATCAATTATAGCAATGTGCGTACACTTACGAATAACCATAACCAAATGAAAAAAAAGTCTGAAGTTAATGAAAACTTCACTTGTCACAGATAAATTTTAACCAGTGAAGTAACTTAAATGTGTAACATTTGCAAAAGTTTGTAACATATTAATATTGATTCCTTAGTAATCAACGTAAAGAGAAATCATTCCATAGTTGAGACCATACACATATAATTACTATTTTGAGTATGTCATTATATTAATAGTTGAGCACTCAATATGGAAGGACCATACACATGAATATGACAAAACCTTGTCAAAATAATCTTACATGTGTATTCTTTTAGTTGCACAGTGCATGTCACATTTCAACTTGCCCATCAGATCAAACTTTAAATATATGTAGAGCAACATCTCTTTTATTCATCGATCGTATTCTTTCAATACCTTTTGCAGGGAGTTTATTACGCATAGGCCAATACAAAGAACAACAATTAGGTGACCAAAAATATGCATTAAGATCATCATAATTGCACCACTCTAAGTGAGATGCCTTCCTATTTCTGCATAGCTGTGTAATAACCTTTGACTGCTTTTGTGGTGGTTAATATTTTAAGCTAATAAGATTGTCATAGCATACACCATCAGAAATTGAACCAACCTTAGACATATGCTTATATAGGTATAATTAACATCGTGTCAATACTCAATACATGCATATAACATGCCTAAATATAAAACTCAAACTTGTGTGGCCCCATTCGATGGATTAAGTGTTGAAAGGACTTGCACATCCACTAATTATCTATTGAAAAATACCCAAACAACTAAATTTTGCTTTCAAAGGTTCTTATTCATGTGAATTGTTTTACGTTGCCTGGAAGGATTGTAATATATAGAATATATCAGTTATATAATTGTATTCAAAAGATTAAAAAAAACAATAGTGATTGAATAGAAGAGGGTAGATTTTTCATTTTGTCACATTTCTTGACCTGTCATTTTTTGTAAAAAACATATAAAACAATAAAAAAGATCCATTTTGAAAACAGAAAACAATAAAAAAAACGATCCATTTTGACATCTTTACTCCTTAGAGTTTGATCACCCACCATCCCATCGTTGGTTCTAAACCAACCTAATCATGTTCTTATGGAACATAGGAACACCATTGGCTACAAAATCATCCATAAGTTAATGTTGTTTACACATCAATTGTTTATTTAATTTATGCAATTTGAGAGTAAAATTATGTACTAAATGTCCTACCTATCATTGAAAGTCTTTTTCAACATGTTCTTAAAAGCATTGAAAGTCTAGAGCGCCACCTTGATCCTGACTAAAAGAATACTAATAAACAATCATGTCGCCATGAGTCATCTACAATTACTTTTAATCCATCGATTTCCTCATGAGTATATTTAAAAAAAAAAACTTAAGTATCTTAGGATTATGAGATCCACTAATGACCAAATCACAGTCCATTAGATGCTATTGCAGCCCGTTAAGATCCATGTGTGATCTCAATGGTTAAAATTTAAATTTATCATTTCTTAACATTTTGGTAATTTTTTTGAAAAACAATTAGTTAATTTTGGTACATTTGTTTAAATCCCCAATGTATTATAGTCATTTTTGGATTTTATTTCTAAAAGTTTTTATTAAATTCTCACGTCCGAAGCAGAACTATTAGTATTATCTTTTATAAATTATATTCAACTAAAGTATTGTTTTAGACTTGTTTTTTTTGTTTTTTATTATAACTATATTTTTTTCAAAAATCTCTCACTCTAATCATTTTCTCACAACAAAATTTCTTTTGCAGTGAAAATGTTTGAAAGATTCATATAACTAAAAAAATTCAATTTTTTGATATAAACATTATTTTTGAAACAATATGAATAGTTTCTCAATATATAAATTTTTTCGTGTTTAATATTTTTTTTAAGGATCATGTAAAAACTAAATTTTGGCAGCAAATTGAATATTTTGTAACAATTCATTCATATCCAAAAGATTATCGAAAACAATTCCCCAAGGCCCAAATATGGTTATCTTTGTCATTATCTCATATATTAAAAGGCTAAACAGATGTGATGCGAATATTTGGGCAAATGTCTTAACAAGAGAGGTGAGACGAGTCTTTGGATTAAGGACCAACAGTGTAACAAACGTTTTGGATTCGGTATCATTAGCAAAACAAATGAGTCTTGTAGATAATGGTGTTAACTTCCACATTTTTTTTAATCCACACTACAAAGTTGTTTTAATTGGAGATATGCATTAACGATTCATTTCATATCCAAAAGATGTAATACTTTGCCAGTTACCTATCTAATTGGTTAAAACATAGTTGCATAATATTTAAAACGTTTTTTTGAGGTATAACTTTAATGAGTTAGTTAAAAAAAATATGAAACGATAATATTTATCAAAATTTTATTGGATAGGAACATTCGTAAGCATAAAAATAGAAAACAATTTAATTTTTTGAACTGAAAGAAAAATAAAATATGATGTCAAAAAATTGGTAAAAGTGAAACATTGAATAAACATTTACCATGTGCCACTTACTAGTTACTACATTCTTACATATTTTTGCCATCACAGGAAACATGAAGCTACATTTTCTGGTTCACTTAAAAAGATTAATAAATTTTGATAATCTTTTTCGGAGCCTATAAAGTATAAACGGTTATAAAAACTTGAACTTTCATCTAGTTTTAGGCTTTTATCAATAACTAGAAGCTATTATTGGCTACCCTTTTCTAGCAGCTTATCATTAGCACAAATCAAAATTTTAAACTTAAAAAACAAAAAAAAAGAAGCAAATTTCGTCACTTAATCAACTTCCTCAATCTTGGGTCCAGCACCGCCACCACCAGCCGGAGCAGCTCCTGCATTACCGGCGGCCGCCGCATCAGGAACACCACCGGCCTGATACATCTTAGCAATAATCGGATTACAAATCCCTTCTAATTCCTTCATTTTATCCTCAAATTCATCCACTTCACCCAACTGGTTCGCATCCAACCAATTAATCGTTTGCTCAATCGCATCCTCCACTTTCTTCTTATCTCCGGCGGCGATCTTCGCCGACACTTTCTCATCACTTATCGTGTTCCTCATATTATACGCGTAGTTCTCCAAAGTGTTCTTCGCCTCCACTTTTTTCTTATGTTCTTCGTCCTCCGCCTTGTACTTCTCCGCCTCCTGCACCATTTTTTCAATATCTTCCTTCGATAATCTTCCTTTGTCGTTCGTAATCGTGATCTTGTTCTTCTTCCCACCGACTTTATCTTCAGCGGAAACGTTTAATATCCCATTCGCGTCGATGTCGAAACAGACTGTAATCTGGGGAACACCTCTCGGCGCCGGAGGGATGCCGGAAAGTTCGAATTTTCCTAGTAAATTGTTGTCCCTTGTTCGTGTTCTTTCTCCTTCGTAGACTTGAATCAAAACGCCAGGCTGGTTATCGGAGTAGGTTGAGAAAACCTGCTCCTTCTTCGTCGGAATCGTGGTGTTTCTCGGGATTAGCACCGTCATGACTCCGCCGGCGGTTTCGAGTCCGAGAGAGAGAGGAGTGACGTCTAAGAGTAGGAGATCTTGTACCTTTTCGTTTCCTTCGCCGCTGAGGATGGCAGCCTGAACTGCAGCGCCGTACGCGACGGCTTCATCGGGGTTGATGCTTTTGCAGAGCTCTTTTCCGTTGAAGAAGTCTTGTAGCAGGTTTTGTACTTTTGGGATACGTGTAGACCCACCGACGAGGACGATATCGTGAACGGATCGTTTGTCCATTTTAGCATCTCGGAGACATTTTTCAACGGGATCCATGCATTTTCTGAAGAGATCCATGTTCAGTTCTTCGAATCTTGCTCGAGTTATGGTGGTGTAGAAGTCGACACCTTCGTATAATGAATCGATCTCGATTGTTGTTTGAGCAGTGGACGAAAGAGTTCTTTTAGCCCTCTCGCATGCTGTTCTTAGTCTCCTCAAAGCTCTTGGATTTCCGGTGATGTCCTTTTTGTGTTTTCGCTTAAACTCCTGAACAAAGTGATTCACCATTCTGTTGTCAAAGTCTTCGCCGCCGAGATGTGTATCACCGGCGGTGGACTTCACTTCGAAGATTCCCTCTTCGATTGTAAGAACAGAGACATCGAAAGTTCCACCACCAAGGTCAAAGATAAGAACATTCTTTTCACCAACACTACCGGCTTTCTTGTCTAGACCATAAGCAATGGCGGCAGCGGTGGGTTCGTTGATGATACGCATCACGTTTAGACCCGCGATAACGCCGGCGTCTTTGGTGGCTTGGCGTTGGGAATCGTTGAAATATGCAGGGACTGTAACGACGGCGTTTTTGACTGTTGATCCAATAAAAGCTTCAGCGATTTCACGCATCTTGATGAGCACCATGGAAGATATCTCTTCAGCTGCAAATTGTTTGTTCTCTCCTTTGTAATCGACTCCGATCAAGGGCTTTTCTGCAGGACCAGATGTGACCTTGAATGGCCATAGCTTCATGTCGTCCTGCACAGATGCGTCACTGTATCTCCGACCGATTAGCCGTTTTGCATCTGTTTTTTTTTGTTGTCAAAATTATAGAATATAACTTAGCACTTCCGATCAAAACATGATAAATGAAACAAAGATCCTAATCTCCGAATAGCAATTTCTGTATATAATGAAATTTTAACATCCATAGCAAGTGCGATTGATGATTATACTATAAGTCAAAATGGCTAATCCACAAATAGCAAGTTTCAGTGAGCGATTGCTGTTTTATCGCATACTAACGGTGATAACAATGATATCTAATACTATGAATTAAAATGCCCCATCTCCAAATGCATGTTTCATTGAGAACGAGATGATTAATTTGAAAGTAATTTCTGTGACTCAATGGTAAGATTTGCCCTAATGGATCTAGAATTGCCACAAAATTCATAAGATCAATCGACTGAACATCAACGAAAAACAAACGAAGAACCTGAAAGTTTGAGCATATTAACGTACCGAAGACGGTGTTCATTGGATTCATGGCGACCTGATTCTTCGCAGCATCACCAATTAGACGCTCGGAATCCGTAAACGCAACGTAAGATGGAGTCGTTCTGTTGCCTTGATCATTCGCGATGATCTCGACTCGGTCGTGCTGCCATACTCCGACGCACGAGTATGTTGTACCTAGGTCGATTCCGATCGCCGGACCTTCACCTTTCCCGGCCATTTCTTAAACTCTATTTACGAACCAACTTTAAATCCGAAAAAGATTACTGTTGCTATAAAAAACTGGCGCGAGTTTGTTGATGTGAAGCGAAAGGCCATTTATAGTCTGCTTAAAATTAATCGCGGCCGTTGATCAAAGTATTATGCGATTTGAATAATCCGAGTCCTTCGTTTGAAATTTTGACCAAAATGAACTTAGGACTTAGTTGCTTTTTAGTCCCTAAATATAAGTAGAACTCCTTTAATATCATAGTTGAACTTAACGGTAACACCAAAACAAAATATTGATGATTTTATCATTTTTATACCTACATAACATAATTATTTATTTATTTATTTATTTATTTATTTATTTATTTATTTTTACCATGGATTGGAGTTATTTCCATAAAGTTCATATATGTTCATGAATATGTAGTTTTGCCACCTCCACCAAAATTCCCACCCTCACCTACCACCACAATCTCACACCACATTCATCCGCCATTGATAACATCGTCTACTAGCACTTGCTTCTGCCGTCATCACCTCAACGATTCACCACCACAACCACAGACACGACTACTATTCACCACCATCGGAAAATCGACACAAAACACATAAACCACCAACACTGATGTCCACTACCAATAGGAAATCGACACAACCACACACAAACCATCGACATCGACAACCACCATCGGAAATCGACACACACAAACCATGAATTCAACACACACTCCATTTGATTTAGTTCTCCATCGCCGTCAGAATTCTTGTTGGAATCGTCGGAGTCGTCCGATGGAGGCAACTAGGGTTTTATCCGAGCGAATAGTAGTGAAGGGAGAGAGTGTGTTGAAGATGGTATTGTAGATTACTAATGAAGCTCGTTCAAGTTCATTTAGGCTTGCGAGCTACTAATGAAGCTCGGCTCAGACTCGTTTAACTTATGCTCGAGTCAAACTTTTAACAAGTCGGTCCCGAGTAGCATACGGGCTACACCTGATTCCTATTATGGCCTGTCCCTGGTTGAAAATGTTTGCCAATGAAGTGATGAACTTACCAAACAACTCATTTTTGTTCTTCTCTTCATCGTTTATTTTTCTACCATCGCCTTTTATTTCTGTTCATCTCTTACAAAAATTCATCTAAACTTTTGAAATATCGTCACCATTAAAGAAAATAATGCTAATTTCTTGATCTATCATGTGACATCCCCAATTTCATGGCTAGAAAAGACCGATTTGTTTATGCTTTGTTTTATAAAATCAGAGTAATCTTTTGATTAAAAGAATTGCGGAATTTGTTCCCAAAATAAAATATGATAAAATTTATCAAAACATTTCTCAAAGAGAATGTATTTTCATTAAATAATAAAACTTTGGGATGTCATGTTCGATACAGACCAAAAGCATAAACAATATAAAATAAATCTTACAACAGTTATTTATGACTACTGATCTATAATCTAAAATCTCTCATCAAGTCCACCAACTTATACTCTTGTGCCTTCACCTGTAATGTAAAGAAAACTGAGTGGGTCAGGCTTAGGAGCGTGGTGAGCATATAGGGTTTTCAACCCACAATAATATAATTATTATATGTAATCAGCAAACAATCAACCCAATTACCCATCCTCATTATCTTCTTAAGATTTTACCCTAAGAACCAACTATCCTTCATTCATTTATTCGTAAGGAATTTGGCACGAATTCCATTGCTGCCAAAGCTTATTTATCAAGTACTAAATCCATAGTTATCTGGTGCTAACTCCATAGTCACCAAGGTTCACTTAACAAGCGCTAACTCCATAGTCGCCAAGGCTTACTCAACAAGCGCTAACTCCATAGTCGCCAAAGTTTACTCAACGTGCGCTAACTCCATAGTCGCCAAGGTTTACTCAACGTGCGCTAACTCCATAGTCGCCAAGGTTTATACAATAGACGCTAACTCCATAGTCACCAACTAATACTTACACAGTTTAAATCATTTAACACCTGTATAAAACTCCAATTTCCATGCCCATCTCAAATAGACAAATAACATATAAACACATAGCACGTATTTCATAGCAAATACATCATATTTATGTGTTAGAAGAAAATAAGTACACACTCACACATATAAACGACAATAAACTTAATACGCTCAAGCCATACTTGTATTATTATCGTGTTTATGAAAGGTAGTATACACTCACTTGATCAGAAGATGATCGGACAGCACTACGACTTGCAGAAGTAGTATTCTTCGGTAGATCTGGAAGATCTCCACAAAAATCGAACTTCTCGCGGGCAGAGCTTCGGCTCGGGAACCGCACTTCTCGGGATCTTCGGGATCTCGGGACTTGCTTCGGGGCTCGAGAATAATACCGGGGCTTCGGGGTATTTCTGGCACGCAAATCGAGGAAAAATGGGAGAGAGAAGAGAGAAAATGAACAAAAGAACCGGCTGCCCTCGCATCCTATTTATAGGAGGCTGGAGCCTCGGAGTACGCGGGGCGTACGCGTCCGAATTCGTCACTGCATGCGTCATCCGAAGCCACTTGATGTGAGTGTCGACATCCTCGGTGTACGCGGGGCGTACTCGAGTACGCGGGGCATACTTCGGATCGGAGCGCTGACTCGTCTTCGGATAATGTCGGGGTTTAATAATTAATTTTAATTATTAATTATTTAATAAACTTCGAAAATTCATATCTCCTTCATAAGAACTCCGTTTTTGATGTTCTTTATATCCACGCGAATGTGAGACTACGCACTACAACTTTCGTTTAGATTCCGTCAGCTAATTTTGACTTTATTTTTATTATTTATTTTTAATAGGCCGGGATAGAAAATTTCGTTATAAATTCATAACTTCTTCGTCCGACGTCCGTTCTTGCCTAACTTTTCGTCGTTTCGCTACTAACAACGAGACCTTCGACTCTCGTTTAGATCGCTAAAGCTAAATATCACTCTAACGTAAATTCACTTTTTACGTCATTCAGCGTTGTGTCGTTTCTGTCGCGAAACTTTAACAAGTCATAACTTCTTCGTTATAACTCGGATTATGGCGTTCTTTATATGCACAGAAACCTTGTAACATATACTAAAACTTGGTTAGGATTATTCATCCTAAGTAATCTTCTATCAAAAAGTCATTTTTGACGCTTATTGTCTCTAAATTGACTAGCTCTACGGGCGTTACAATTATCTCCCCCTTAGGATGATTACGTCCCGGAATCATCAACGAAATAGGATTTGTATACTGACTCCATAAGTTATCTCTCCATTCTAAGTAATAACCTTGATGCTCAACCCTGCATCTGCTCTTCGTACTACAAAATAAATCCTTATTGTTCTAAGGATAAATACATTTATTTATCTATTGTAACTAACCGATGGGTCGTGCCCCGATGACCTCTCATCGCGGTCGGACTCAATTAATATGACCACTAGGGTCGGAATAACCATCATCCTACTAGTCATTTCCGAAACAAGGGAAATGGCAAACTTGAATAAAACGAAATCAATTACTAGCTTCTTGATAACCTTGTGACTTCCCCTGATCCAAGCGTGAGTCATGTGCTTCCGGTAGTATAGATCTCTACTACCATTCACACCTACTCATACTCGTCCCAAGTATTGTCTCGCAGTTAACCAAGTCACCATACATAAATCATATAATCATTCAACACATCAGATAACAAAACCAGGGTTTATATTAAATCTTGAAACTATTACACAAAAGTTCAAGTTCACCCTATACTATGCCTCTAACAGGCTATGCTTCCTGATACAGGCTTTATATATTAATATGAAGTCTTCATCTTTTAATCCTCCCATCCTTTTCTGCTTCGTTGAGGAACATGTTAAATGCCCTTGGCTGTGGAGGCGTGTTTTTCTGTGGGCAGTCTTTAGAAATATAACCTTCTTCATTACACCTATAGCACACCTTCTTGATAGGTGCGCACTTGTTGGCGTAGTGCCCTGTCTTTCCACATTTGTAGCAAGTCATATCCTCGCTACATTTCCCGAAGTGTTTCTTCTTACACTCCTCACACCACTTAGCTTCATCTCTTCCCCCAGATTTCGAGAATTTACTTTCTTTGTCGATTATTGAAGATCCTTCACGCTTCCTTTTCTCTCCAACTTCAGCTCTTTCCAGACCCTTTTCTTTTATTTGGGTCTCAACATTCTTGGCTGCCCAGATGGCGGCTTTCAGAGTGGTTGCTTGTTTGACTATCGGACCAAAGTCCGCTGGTAATCCATTGGCAAACTTGTTGACCTTGGAAAGCTCAGTTGGAATTAGGTGTGGAATAAGCTTCATCTTCTCCGTAAAGCTCGTAGCATATTTAGTAACGCTCAATTTTCCTTTCTTCAGATTTTGGAACTCATTGTTGATTTCCAGAAGATCTTGCTCAGAGCAGTATTGCAATTTCAGTTGCACCACGAATTCTTCCCAAGACATCTTGCTAGCTTCCCCCTTGGGCATCGAATCAGCCAGTAACTTCCACCAGCTCAATACTCCAGATTTTAACAGAGGGATTGCAAGAGCGGTCTTCTGTCTGTTGCTACACTCGCAACTTTCAAACATTGTCTCCATTTCGGAGATCCAGTCCATGACTTGCACCGGTGTCGGGCTCCCAGAAAGACATGGTGGTTTGGATGCCATGAAATCCTTGTACTTGCATCCAGGTCCATCATTTCCTCTATCCTGGTTGTTTTGGCGAACTATTGGTAGGTTGGCTTGACCAAAGGTCCCACTGTAGTTTCCTCCTTCAGACTGCCTTCCATTTACTTCGGGATCTTCAACTTGAATTGACAATTCCTCACGATTCTGCCTGATCAGACGTTTGGTTTCTTCCATCTGATTATTCAACATTGCCTGGATCATTACTTGAACTCCGGCCATTGTCATGGGTTCAGGCACTGCTGCTACAACAGGTATTTGTTCAATTACTGGTATTTGATCCCTGTTTTCATCAGCATTTCCAACTCCACTCCTTGTTCTCGCCATTTTTGATCTATACACCGAATAAGGTGAAATTAGATCCTCAGTCACGATAGATATTCAAATCATCATTATCACTCCGAAA